AGCGACGCTGAAGATGATACCTCCCGGAGGACTGGAGATATTGCAATATATAGTACGGTATATGTCCACAGCCTGTTTCCAATAGCTTACTGACCTCGGAAAGGGTATTACATTAACGCAATCGGCCGATCTAACATTCTTCTTTTGATTGTCTGTACGGCTGGTTTCTCATTTTGTTCTATATTTGCTCAGTATATTCTCAAATGGGCGACAGAATCGCCTAGAGACAAATCGAAAATTTATATGTCTCTGTATGCCACAATATCGTTCATCGGATGGGTGGCAACTAGTGGGACTGTATGGTAAGACGAATTTGGCGCTATCCAAAACGGTCAATATTGCTAATCGTCTCCAGGGCCGCTCAAATGAAAGTTGCTGTCAGGTCAGGCGCAGTTTTACACGCACAACTTCTTGATAGAATCTTTAAGTTTGTTCCCAACCTCGGCATGTCAACCGTCCAAAGTACTGATCGCTCTGAACTAGGGCGCCTTTGTCTTACATCACGAAAACCGATATCGGTACCATTGTGAACAGGTGTGCACAGCCTTCCTGGCTCGAAAATATGCATATGTTCTTCTTATACTAATATTTGATATTCAGGTTTGGGCAGGACATAAATCTCGTGGATAAGAAACTTCCTCCAACGCTCGCAAATCTCAATACTCGTCTGCATGTCACAATCTTGACTTTTGATATATCTACTGACAATCATTAACAGAAATCTTCAAGCTTTTGATGCAGTTGGTGCTACTCTTAAAGATCCGACCAATGATGAGTCTCACTGTGCCTGTCTGTGCCATATGCGTTTATTTCATCCAACGGGTTTATCTTCGGACATCTCGACAGCTACGCTTCCTTGAACTAGAGTCAAAATCATCACTGTTCACGAACTTTATTGACACGGTATGTACACCTGCTACAGTATCCGAATGTTGCATTTCTGATCATTAACATAGGCAAATGGCATTGTTACAATTCGAGCTTTTGGGTGGAAAGATAAATTCGAGAAAGAGAATGTGCAAGCCTTGGACCTGTCACAAAAGCCTTTCTACCTTCTCCTTTGCCTACAGTGCTGGCTAAAGATGATACTGGATTGTACTATCACAGGTTTTGCAGTTGTTCTGATTGCGTTCACCATCTCTTATCGAAACACCACAGCTGGTGCGGATCTTGGTTTGGCTCTGAACTTGATAATCGTCGCAAACACCACGCTACTAAAGCTTGTACAAGCCTGGACATCCCTTGAGACATCCTTAGGGGCGATTGCTCGATTGAAGAGCATACAAGACTGTCTGCCAACCGAAGACAACACTGAGCATACTTTGGATCCTGGCCTGCGATGGCCCTCTATTGGAAACCTGCACGTCAACGACGTGTCAGTCGGTTATTCAAAGTCATTGCCCCTTGCCCTACGCAATGTGTCCTTCGTCGTCAAGCCTGGACAAAAAGTCGTTGTTGTGGGTCGAACAGGGAGGTATGGCGATGCAGGTCTGGTTGATTTATATTTGTGAGTGCTTGACTAATTAAGATCTCTTGACAGCGGTAAGAGTACATTGATGCTTTCCTTGCTACAACTTCTCGGACCCAGTGAGGGATCTACATTCATCGACGACATCAACCTCACGCATGTATCACCGAGAACGGTGCGAAAACGTGGTTTCATTGCAGTGCCACAAGATGGCTTCACAATTTCAACGGCCAGTCTACGCTTTAATCTAGATCCTTATCACACGAGCTCAGAGCAAGAAATATCCCTGAGTCTCCAAAGGACTGGTCTTTGGGATAAGATTCATTCAATGGCCGGTTCGGCCGAGAAGGCAGGGGCGAGTCTCAAAATTCGAAGCCTGCTCGATCTTCCTATGTTGTCATTTCTGCCATTCTCGGCTGGACAATTACAGTTACTTGCCTTAAGCCGAACATTGCTACGAGTCTGGTCGTCCGCACCACACAAGCCAATTGTCATCTTAGATGAAGTCAGCTCTTCGTTAGACTCAGAAACAGAGTCTATTGTGACAGATATCCTTCGGGATGATCTCCGAGATTACACTGTTGTGATTATTGCACATCGTGTTGCTGGTATCATGGGCGCTATGAGACCTGGGGTTGATGCAATTGCCACCATGCAAGATGGCAGGCTGCAGACTGTGTCTATTATCGACAGCTCTGGTTAAACCGAAGACATTGTTCGAGCCACCGCCTACCACCGCAGAGACTACTGTCTATCCGTCATTTAGTTCTCGCCCCGTGAACACATTGAAATACGCCCGTCAATAGCAACACCCTTTCAGTGAACATCAAACGTTAGAGTCGGCTCCCTCGACCGGTTACCCCTTGAGCTCTTATTTGACACATTGTACCGTCTGGACATGTGTTCTCTGTTCAAATTTCGACAAATAACTCTCCGATCAAGACAACTGGTAGATTCTCTCAACCAGTATCAGAGGGTAGTCTCTTATGGACTGAACCTTTTCTGTGCTTTGTTACGAACACGACGTGTCATCGACATTTCTCTACTCGACTTTTACAACGCATTATGCACCAAGGCATGCAATTTTTGCGGCGAATTCGGCGGATTTATATCCCTCCTAATTTGGAAGAGGTGCTGTTTTGTTTAATTGCCTCCAGCGGTCTTCGAAAACCCAAGTGCGGACTCCTGCCTCAGTCCGAAAGCAATTTCACATGACTAAAGCCAAATAAGACCAACTAAGGTCATTTAAGACATTGCCTGGAATATACTCGATGAATGAATCTGTACAAAAATCCCGCATTACGGTCGTTTCTCTCCATCACGTCACTGTGTTTGCAGACGGCAACCGTCTGGACTTCCACAAGTCGAATTAGCGGGCTTAGACCGAAATCAAAAAATCAACTTTCATGGCGTCGTGTGCACTTCCTTATCACGACAAACGGACTTGCAGAGGTGGAACGCGGAATTTTGTGTGCTGGTTGTCAGCTTGATATTGAAAAATATATTATCGGCACCAGGGACACGGAATGAGGATACGAGGCCCGATACAAAGTGTATACGCAAGACGGCTTTTTAGAGCATTTTCGGTGGTGTGAACAGGCACAGCTCCTATGGAGATCGAGTGGCGAAGGTAAAAACCGGCCACCCGAGCTACCTATGTCTGCTCGGACAGGGGGCTACTTTCGATGAAGAGAATGACAATCATGTAGAGTCCATTTGTCAAATACCGGAGCCATATACCTCGGTCGGTTACAGTACTAAAACCTCGGATCGGATACAAGGTAAATTTACCTTAGATCTCCATAAACGTCGGTTCCATACAACCGAACAAAGTGCAAGTGATTTTGTCTATTTATACTCGCGCGTTCATCCTGTTTTATTGCTAGTCAGAGAGTTTGATATACTGAGTTCATACCATACATTTCATACAGTCAGATTTCTGTCACCATTTACTAATGTGTTGCAGCCACACTACCTAGAATTGACAAAGGAGAACCCAGAAAGCGGACATATTTCAGCCATCTCAACGTACAATATAATACTGTACTTTATGTTAGAATCTACGAAGTAGATGAGATCATGAAAGCACAATAGGTGTATTGTAGAAAGTCTGAAACTATGTGTAGGGGAGGAAACCAGAGAGAGACTGAGACTACGGAAGTCTACTATGGAGAGCAGCCATGTGACTACTGAGAGATATCAACACTTTATTCCGTGATTTGTCCCATTTGATCCATAGATTTCACCTCTTCGTCTGGCTCTACCAGGTGCCTTGAACAGCAATTGTTCGAATTTTTGCCCCACACCTTTTGGACTGGATGGCATTTGACGTTTGTTCCCTGGCGGTCCTTACACTGCACAAACTCCCACTCCTTCTTGCAGCCACACGTATATTGGATATACTTTGAATCGCACATTTTGACCTATTAGGTATCCGAACTTAATTGGGGCTTGAACACGGAGTATAGGAAATAGTCTTCTCCTTACGATTTTCAGTTGTCAAACGACTTGTATGTTCGGCGATAATTGGTAGAAGCGACTAGTGCATAGAATGGAGCTTCACTTGCGTTATAGAGGAACTAGTATGATGGTGGAGGGCTGTTCTAAACATTTGCTTCTTCCTGGTGCAATGAAAGAAGAGCTTGACTGAAATGTGATGCTGCTACTATTTGAATGATGCCCCAAGCGAACATTTTTTATCTGTCAGGCTGAATATTACCTCGGTTCCGTTCAGGGCTGGCGACTCTAGCATATTGAGATAAAGACGAGGGAAGTACCACAGGTGTCGCATACGACGATCACGGTCGTTATTTGTTGCCAATTCAACTCCATTTCTTCCAAATTTAGAAAGAAAAACACCTGGAGCAATAAAGGATCAACTAAGAGTGGGTAACTGCGGAGCTAAAATCACTACTGCAGAAGACTTTGTAAAGGTGATCACCTGCTGAGTTCTCAACTCGATTTGTATGCACAAGTTGCGCTAACCGCTGATAAGTATATGTGGCCGAATTAATTGAGTAAATTACGGTGAGTCCTTGGCGCTGAGTCGAGGTGGTCAGGTCTAGACTTCCTTGGCCTGCTTAAGCCCGCTCGATATTCCTAAGAATCTCATAGATTTCAAGGATATTGATCCTGTACCTTACTATCTTCCGAACATACAAAAATAGTGTCCAGCGGCACGGGCCAGAGGTTTGCCAGGTCCTGGGGTTGTGCGGAAGCCTAGGCAGAAGTAGGAAGGATCCTTCGCTGATGCTTGTATATGTACGTCCCCGACCGCTTATCCTTATTTCTCATAAAACATCTAAGTTCGCATTGTCCCCTGGTTTTCCATGGGAACACGTGGCCATGTAGTTTGCTATGTTGATATCATCTACGCACGAGTAATATAGAACCAATCAACCACTTGTCCACCCCGTTAAAGCCTTGGCATTATTACGTATTTTTTTCCTCCAAGAGAAAAACACGTATCCGACATCAAAGGTTATCTAGCTCCTACGCAAACACACCAGCAAGACCACTCAACCCCGCAATTATGGCTTCTCAAGGGCAGATGCACGACATCGGATTGCGTATCGATATCATACACCAGCCCGAGGATATCATTCAAGCTTTTGATTGTGTGTGCGAGGCATTTGGTCGTCAGGTCCAAGATGGGATCTGGACAGCCATGAACCCAGGATGGGACACCCCTCAGGGGAGGGCATGTGGAGCCGAGAGGATGGTAGCCCGCTGGCGCCACAAGACCAATGACAAATATGGTCTCCCGAACACCATATTCCTCAAGGCTACGCTGCCGTGTCCGCAGAATGAAGACAGACGTATCATCGTGGGTTGCGGGATTTGGGTGCAAGCTTCCACCATAGAGGGCCATGGCGATCCTCCAGCGGAAGATTTGGTCAATTCGCTGAACCTCAATGCTCTTTACCCTGAAAACGAGCCTGAACAACGTTACCTCTGTCAAGCTATTTCCTCTCTGCATAGAAGACGCAACGAGGTAATCAAGGAGAAGGCCACTGCAGCACCACCAGCAGTTATGATCCTGGACATGTGCGTCGTTGATCCGGCCCATCAGCGCAAAGGCGTCGCAAGGGAGCTTGTACAGTGGGGCATCAATGAAGCACTACGACGTGGAGATCTGGAAGCCATCACCGAGGCGTCCAGTATGGGTCGGCATGTATATGGACAGATGGGCTTCCATGCGGATAAGCACGAGATCGAATATGTTGTGGACGACGAATTTGCTTCTCGTAGGAAGCCACCTAACCTGTTTATGCGCACCAATAGCAACGTACTTTGATGCGATGTGATTGCGGGAATTTACTACGTGTGTCAAACCCCGATTCACCTGTGCGAATTCCTTGCTGTAGTAGACCGTCTGGCCTCATAGAAAATCACGATAATCCTTACGGAAATGCTAGACTAACTTGACCATGAAGGCCATCAAGAACTACCATGGCCTAGAACATTCTCGATTTACGTTCCTGTCCTATAATTTTCCCATCATCCGTCGATTGAATATGAGAAACCGGTGTTTGCAATAACCCGACCATCTCATTGCGCGTTTGATATGGAGAGCTACCAAGTGGTCTCAGTCTGACCACTAACTTAATAATGTTTCTTACATTCTTAGATAGTAATTTGGGTGTTAAATTGTTATCCCTCGCAGCACGTTGGTAGCACGTTGATGGAAACCGTACGTTAAACATACGAGACAACCTGACCGAATCGCAAATATCTTTGAGCTCGCTGGTGAGAACTAAATAAGCCTAGAGCGATGTAAGTCTACGATACTGTAGTGCTGGCTTGAAATAATGGTACAGATGAAAAGGCAGGTAGTCTTCGCGGCATACTCACTAAATGGCAAATCGTATATCTCGGCTTGTAGTTAGGTGGGAAAGGGTCAAAATGTGGATCATCGTTCTCCCGATATCGACAATTGGAGTGGGAATGGGAGTAGCAAGGGTCATGGTGCTAAATAAAGGATAAAATAAAACAACAGAATGCAAGTCGTAGTAAGAAGATTATCATCTACTGGGGTATATGACTTGTTTTATCAAATCGCCATTAGGGTGGACCTATGGTCCCAAAATACTTAGAAATTCCTCGAATATGAGCTTTGTCTGTTTACGTTTCCAAATGGTATATTATATCTGGACTAGTAGATCCTTGGTAGTACTCATCGCCTATATACCCTCGGCTAATATACTTGTAAAAAAAAGCTCTTCGTGCAACTACCCACAGTACCCGTCCGTGAAATTCTAGTTACAAAGATATCTTGTTTTCCACAAGTCCGAGCTATAGACGAGTAGAGTATTATAGTCAGTACACACTTCTTTTGTCATAAATATCCCAATCTATGGATTGTATGAGAAACTGTACACTGCTAAGGGAGGACAGATATCCGATCTATCCGTGCCAGTTAAATCACACTACATCGTACACTCAATAATTGCAGCTGCAAAACCCATAATTGCGTCTACGGATTCTTAAAGTGTAATTAATTGTGAGAGGGATAGCTTGTCAGCCTGTTGACCCATATATACAACTCATTCTACTCGCCTAATCATTTCCTAGTATAGCACTTTTGACGCTTCTAGCGCTTATCCCGAATCTAAATGATCATGTTTGACGGACCTTGCCTCCGATCATCCCAACGCAAAGAATATCCCGGTCTACTCTTTCTCACGGCGAATTTTTGTGTTTTTGGCCTAGGCAAACAAGGAAATTATTGGAAATTGGGGATGCAATCGTTGAGCAATTTGCAATCAGTTCACGGTTCTCATGTTTGTAGGTATTTCATCTCCGAGAGGAGTCCGCATTTTGATAGGTTTATCAATAGGAAGATTACTATTGTACTTCACACTTTAATCTCATCTACTGACCGACCAGTAGTATTTTTAACATATGGATAGGACTTTCCTTCATTGTCAGTAAAGTTGGCAGCAAATGAGGCATGGTAGATAGCAGAGCAACTGCTAGGTCCAGAGTTGTTGCATCCACCAAAGATAACATGCGGCTTTGACAACACCCACGGCAAAGGAGATTGATCCAATATCCCTCTGGTAGTCCCTAAATGTGTACTCTGTATGTCAATCATTCAAATTTTCTACCTAATGGACCCGTCTGAACTTTGCATGCATATTTTATGAACTCTCTTCTCCTCTTAGCATAGCTGTCAGGCTTTTGAACAAAAGTCCCACTCGGCTGCACGGCATGCAGCGGCTACTACTCTGCAGCTATTACACTTTCGACTCAATATAATGTGCGAGTGGCCGTTGTTAGCTAAGAACAGAACTTGTATAGTATGATTTTGAGTATTGTACATTAACCATGGAGAAAATTGGAGATTTAAATTTAGAGAAGCAAAAAAGAAAATGGAGTAACCGCAATGCTATTCTACTTGAAGGTTCGCCCATATCATCTTGCATACTTTGTTGGACGGCGCTAGGATTTTAAAACCATGCCCAATGCACTGGGCGCGGTATCTGCCAATATATATACAGAGCTTGCCATCAGACGCAGCTCCTTGGTGAATTGATCAACTGGAGGATAGAGTTTACGATCACATTCCTGGGTCCTCCTCTTTGGTGCCTATCATGTACAGCCATAGCCATGTCTTTCATATAGAAATATCAGCCGCTATTCCCAACCACGCATCTGATGTCCCTCGGCTATGCAACACCATATATCGCACCGGGGTGATGTAACAAGCCTACCAACTTCCCATAGCATGTTCAGCTGCCTAAGGCAAGGTTCTAGTTGATAGTCAGGCAGTTGAACAAAGATGCAATAGCCGGTGTGACTACGTCAGAGGGAGACTTGATTGTGAGAACCTATGTTGAAAAGGTAGAAATAAAATTTCTAAGAATCTCAGGGCTAAGCCCAATGCGTGGATAGCCTCTCATCCGCGAAGTGCGAATCTGTTCGGCGTTATCCGGTATATCATCATTCTCGTAGTAAACAATACCGTCGTCAAGTACTTTGCTAGTTTTATAATTTCACCTTTCTTTCATCAAGAATCCTCTGAAGCTGTACCTTGTCAAAGTCACACATTATTGTTCTTATAATCAAGTTCCTACACCATATTCAAAAGCCGAGAACATAAATTAGGTCTCAAGTGTATAGAGTGTAATATGCGGTGCAAAATTTACAAGATGAAAATCATTTACAGCCCTCCATCATTTTGAATGAAATCTCATGTTATTTAGATGGTGAGACACGGCGGGGTGGAATACGAGGTTGGCCATCAGCTCTACATAATCGAATTATGAGATCTATAACTCAGACCTATGCCTCTTCGTATTTGTCAACACGAGGTAGGTCACACCTAAAGACTCCAGTAATAGATGTCTTTGATTTCTATATCCGTGGGGTTTGCGTTAAAAAAATGAGACATTAACCCGGTGGCTAACCCGGTGGCTGGAAGCTATCGAGGCTCTTCTTGTTCCTTTTTGTTTCATAGGGGTTTTTTTTTAGAATCGATTCATCGATCCGTCAAATATCTTTGCTGAAGCAAGTAAAACAGAAAAAGAACTTCGCTATTCATGCAGTCAAACTTACCTATAATTTTCAATCTGGATAGACAGATGTAGTCTTAAATGTAGTGGGCATTTAGGTCTCAGCCAGACTGCAAGGCGAGAAACACGAGCTACGCCTTGACAACCACTATTATCTAAGATGAGAAATTTTAGCAGAAGGTATCGGTTGCCTGATGTCTCATAACATTTATTCATCACCCTTATACGGGGAAACTATGTTTATTGCGTCATGGTATATGCGCGAAGATTGTATCTCTATCTATATTCGCTCTCGAATCAGATTGGTACATTCCCGTTATTTCTAGGATCTCTTAATACGATTTTAGTTGCTATAACGCATCACCCAAGGTAGAGAGCAGAGGTTTCATCGTTTGGCTAAAGAATCCTCTACTTCCATGTACATAGAAATAGAATGAGAATGGGTGGCCTTGATATGGAAGTTCACCTGATTAGTTTACGAAGGGCTGTGTGAAACAGCTATTGTGTTCTCAGGGAAGCCTGTACCGGTCTCTGCAGGTCGTATTATCATCTATATGTCTACTACTCGAATGTCTAAAAATACCATCAATGACAAGATGATCAGGTCAGCCATCATCATTACAATAAACAGGGTATAAAACCCACCTGCTTCCTGCGAGACGTGATGCCTTTCACTCCGAAGAACATCAGTCTCCAACCGCATTTTCAAAGCTTCCAACCAGTCTTCGCTACAAAGAATATCATTGCATTTTGCAAGGTTTCTCCAAATATTTCAAAATGAAGTTTACCATTGCTGCTACTGCCTCGCTTATGGCATTCACCGTCTCTGCCACGCCTCTTGAGGTCCGCCAGTCCAACCAAGTCACCGTGGCTCTGTCCAACGACCAATCTGGAGCCTATGCTGGCGTGACATTCCAAGCCGATGACACTGATAAGAGCATCTTCTCCCTCTTCAGCGGTACATCTGTTGGGGCAGGCGGTACTGTCAAGGCAACCGCCGGCCAGCTCACCAACTTTCCGCAATCCATCAATTGTGTCATCACGAACAATGGTGCTACCATTGGTACCTTCACTGCTCTGCAAACGTATTTGGATTTTGATGGAAGCTCCGATGCCGCTATTCCAATCAATCTTAACAATGCTAAGATTCACTGCCGTGTTTAAATTCCTAGCTCCTTCCGGATTCACAATTCGTCGAATCGTTTGAGTGATAGGATTTACTGATGCAGAGCTGGAATGGACCCCCGAGGATGTGATTCTTTGTTCGTGTTTTCTTCTGTGGCAAACATCTTGCTTTAGTCAATATATGTCGATAATACCTAGGTATTCAATTTGTTTGACATGAGAATTCTGATATATATTGACTTGTGTCGGAGTCTTGGTGATTAGAGCCACATTGTAGCACCTATGGTAGCTTGTTTGCATTAACTCCGCTACATTCTCTTTTTCACAAATTCTATTAGCTTTGTATCTTTTCTTGCTTTAATTATTTTCCCAACAATGTTATCTTATCATCACCAAGGTTTTCGGCCTCTAGAACTGCTCGCAAGGTCCTTCGAGGGTAAAAAGCCACCTCTCCCATCTTTGGCCGTTTTCTTTTGTGTCTGTAAATGAAGAACATGGCGTTTTCATTTCGTGTTATGTTTAAACGTGCAACCTCTAGGTCTCGTCGCCGTGCTATGGACACCACTGAGTGTTGTGACGGTGGGTATTCCGACCACAGTCGGAGAATGTATGTTCTCCCCCTTGCTCAACCTGTTCACCAAACGGCGCAACGAAGGATCTATTTGACAGGTCAACAGAGCGGATCGTCAAGTTCTGCCCCTCCTGGTAGTTGGGTTCGCTAGCTATCAGCTCGACAGAACAAACATTGCCAGCGCTCTCACAGGGAATTTTGCGACCGTCATATCCGTGGACCAAAATATTATCAATCTTGGAAATCAATTGATGTTCCTGGGCGTTATTCTACTGGAGATACCATCAAATGTTATTCTACACAGAGTATGTCGCATCCCCAGCCGGATGGTCTGCGAGTCACTAAGTTGGGTTAGATTGGCCCTCGTCAATGGATCAGTGGACAAGTCTGCGTATTCGGAACAGTAGCATGCCTACAGATACTTGTGCGCAGCAAGTTAGGCTTCCTACTCACTAGAACATGCTTGGGTCTTGCTGAAGCTGGGTATATTCCCGGTGCAATGTATACACTTTCTACCTGGTATACGAAGGAAGAGTTAACAAAACGAATTGCCATATTCTTCTTTGGCATGTTTGGCGGAACGGCCGTTTCTCCGCTTCTTGGGGCTGCTCTCTTGAAACTGGATGGAAAACATGGTCTCTTTGGATGGCAATGGATTTTCCTCGGTACGATTAAGGCTGACCCACCAAACATCAAATAGTGCTAACAAATATAAAGTCGAGGGTCTATTCTCCGTTGCGGTGTCTATGATTCTCTTTTTCTTTCTTCCTGAGCACAAGCAGGTCTCTGTGTCGTCTGATCAGGTGGACATTGCGGAGTCTGGAGGGGTTCGCCCAACGAAGAAACCATTGGCTCACTCTAGAAAAACGCACATATCAGTCAGATTAGTTTGGCAGACCTTGACAAACATATGGAAATGGCCGCACTTTATTGCCACGGGGTGTGTTTTTGCTACATGGAGCCCTCTCACAACATATACCCCAAGCATTTTTATGGAGTTGGGTATTGCTCGAATTGAAGCAAATGCATTTTGTGCAATAGGAAGCTTGCTTACTCTCCCCGTGATTTTGCTTTTTGCGTGGATGAGCGACAAATCGAACAAAAGAGGTCTTACCGTTATGGTTGCTATGTTTGTCTACCTGATCACATTGGTAATTCTAAGAATTATGATGCACCGCGTGGATAAATGGGGCAAATTCGGACTCTGGACTGTAGTCAATGCTTTGGCTGTGGGCTATCATCCAATTCACAATTCTTGGATTCAAATTAACTGCACGAGCTCCGAAGAGAGGAATATAAGTGTTGCGTGAGTAAAATCTTTCCTACTGGTCATTTTTTGAAGGGTTGAGCTAACAATCTTCACTAAGAATGTGTAAGATCACTGTTAGTCCTATAATGGACATCCTCTTTCTTTGCTAACTCAAGAAAGTCGTCATGGCCGCTACAGGAGGGCTTATGGCAGGAACCCAGATATTTAGGGACGACGAGTCGTCTATATTGTAAGTCCTACACTTCCGGATCTCACCTATATCACAACGATAATGACTGATTTATTGGCCCAATAGTTATCCGAGAGGGGTGTCGATCATGATTGCGCTAGTGGTTTTGGGTCAGATTTTTGTTATCCTACAAATGTCAATATTCTGGATCCAAAACAAGCGTATCAAAGCAAAATATGGTGTGAGAGTGCTGAATATTCTATAGTAAGCCTGTGATGGGCCCTAAGGCTTCTTACCAGGTCGCATTTCGCATGTGTGCTACCATCATATTATCTGTATATAAATTTACAATGTTATCTTAACTAATAGTTTTGCAGGAAAAATAAAAATACAATGAAAGAAACAAAATAAAAGAGAGATACGTCAAAGCACCACTGTATATTAAGCTAGCGCTAAGTAAAAAAGGGTTTATACACGTTTCAAGTACCCCAGCGTCTCCATCACTTCCTTGGCTATTCTTTTAGCCAACATCTGCTCCGAGGAATCCATGTCATTGAGGAAATTATCACATTTTTCTTCCACCATGCCTCGAGGATGCTCTATGCTTTGGTCCATGTCTGAAATCTCTCTCAATAGTTCCTGCATCTTCTCAAAAACCCGCATTGGAGGAAGCAGTCCCATTTTGACCCAATTCAGACCTCTAAGACGGCATTTCGGCGTAATTTGCAAGGTTGCACGGATAATTGCTTCGCTTCTGGTTTGGTTATCCAACACTCGGGCAGTAAAAATATGACCATGAGCCTTGGTTTGCAGATGACGCGCGATCCTGGTCGCACCAATCTCAGCTAATGAAGCGTATACCAGAACCCCTAAAAATGCCAATTGCAGAGCTCCCTTCATGTTCACCATACATGCAACCGAGGATATGCCAGAGAATGTCCCTGACAAGGTCCAGAACCAGTGCAAACAATCCTTCACCCAAGACTGGTCATATTCCCATGTGGAACGCGCCCATTCCTCAAGTTCCTTTTGTGGTCCTTTGAAGATCACAGTGCCCCCCTCATCGCGCTCGTACACCGCATATCTATGCTGCAAGTCATTTTGGATGTGCTCTGGTTTGTGGATCTTGACCATAGAAGTAAAAGAAATGAGCACTGAAGCAAACCAATGACTGCTGTATAAAAAGAACAAGCTGAAAGCCCAAATGTCGGCTGTCAAAATTCCGCATACCATACCAGTCATCAGCATGGCCCCGTTGACTAGGCAAATCGTGTCCAATGCCCATTTGCCGAGAAGCCATCTGAGATTTCCCGATTGCTGACGCACATTTTTCTGTCGTTCTGCGCTTGATGGGTACATGGAATCCACACGCACGACAACAAAGTCGTTTCCAGGTTGCTTGGATGTTGGAAAGGATATTATATCAGTCAGCCATTCGTTGCTCAAGTTGAGTGGCAGTTGGCGAAACACATTCCCCGATACGTCTGATCGTACAGGGAGCATAGTCGTATCTTGTGCGCATAGTTTGATAGATGGATGGATCCACTTCATCGTGGCATTAAGTCGTTCAACAAGCATTTGCATGGGCGGCAACGTCCCTCCAATCATTGTCAGGTGTGGCCATATGAACAATCCTCGATCAAACTGGGTGTAAAGTCTCGCTGCACTTTTGTCAACGCGAGGGTTGTAGAGAACAGCCGCAACACCAAGCGGATCAAACGTAACTCCGTCATCTCTCTTGAGTTGAGCGTGCAAGTCCGCTAGTGACTGTGGAAACTTTTCCGCTTGTGCTAGCCCAATTATGGGGAGGAGACTTGAAAGATACAATAATGACGGCATTTTCACAAACTCGGGGGGTTCTCCAAGGTTCGCGACCTTTGGTTTATTAAAATAAAATAAAGTCATCTAACTAGTTCAGTAAAAAGGAGGCAGCCCAAAATCCCGCTGGACACTCGCTGATCCTTCTTTATTGGGGTTAGTGCTTACTAGCTGAAGCCGCGATGTACATATATCCCGTACCCGTATCCATATCCAGCGATCCACTGATGGCCGCATCTCGTCCAATAAAAATACAACAAAATTGCGCCCAGAAAAGCAAGTTGGAGACAGCTGACAGGACAGAAAGCGAAAAAGCATACCGAAGGGGGAACCTTCGCATCGGAAAGTTCGTCACCTCAGTACTCCGTCTGCACCATCCTCTTATTTTGCCTAGTCCCTCAATGTACAGAGTACTCACTCCCCTAATTCATATTTAATTTACAATTTCCTGGACAATCAAAGCGGAGGACAAGCAAGAGGATAGAATCAGCATCTCAGCCATCGCAAATAATCCGTACAGCCCGTGACCCACCATCCACAAGATAATCCACCCCCTATCATGTACGTGGCAGCATCTTTAGTGTGAGTCTACACGTGTCCGAAGAATTTATGGAAGCTCCAAACTACGACCTCTGTCTCCCCCAACTCTGTGCTTCATTCGACGAAGGTGGCGGGGTTGCACTAGGAGACACCTTTGCTATCTATTCTGTTGTCGCGTCTTCCCCAGATTGGCGCACCACGGCATTCAAATCCGGGCTTCATACGGAACTCATATCAGCAGCCTCTGCTGTTGGAAACGTGATTCCTGTTCTAGTTACGAAAGAAAATTTAACCGCGGTGAACATTGTTTCGTTGCCATGTCCAGAACATCCACCTTTCAACTCTACGCGGGATATATCACTTCGCGAGAGCCTTCCTTGGTTCCTTATCAATGCATCAAAATTCTCTAAGCACCAGATTATCGGTCGTGGGGACACACTTGACTCCTTGCTCATAATTCTCCAGCGACCGTGGTGTGTCCTTGAGCTATGTTGCTGTGATACACTAGTGATATCTGCCATCCACCGGTTCGTCATCATTGCGACCAAGATCAACCCCGAACTCTACAATCATGCCTCGGTATTATTGAATCAAGAACTAAGAGGAAGAACAGAACTCTCTCTTCGTGATATAAAACAGTCTGGATTATCCTTGCCTAAAGCTTGGATATCCTTCGGCGAACTTGATACAACATCGTCTGCTATCAAAGAAGTGTATATCAACTTGTGTTTTAGTCGACTTCGCTCGCACAACTCGTTCTGGTTGCGACTAATTTCTACCTGCGCTCCATACCTTGGTATAAGCTGTTCAAATTTGGTTCGCATTTTGTCAGACATGACCTCTAGGGACCTCAATTTCTCGAGGCAAAATCAAGCAACCCAAGAATGTCATTCGAGTATTGAACGGCTGTCGCTTCATTCTCCCAATTCGATAACAATATCCACGTGCAACTCGGCACTTCCAACAAGGAGTACCTTGAATCTCAAGGATCATGACAAACATCCGGCACAATATGATCAGGAGATTCTGACCAGCGATCTGCAATTTTTGCTTCTAATTTACAAACAAGTTTTGCAATTTGTTTCTGAATCATTGCCTTAACACCAAAGCATGGTCGGACTATCGGGTGTACATTCATGAATTTTCATCTTTCGTCTATAACTTACACAAGAAAGTGCGCCCAGCCCTCCCTTTGTTTCATCGTAAACTTTCCTGGCTAAACCTTTTCCCTCAAAAGTTTTGATAATTTACCGTATATTTTTGGACTCATATACCAAATGCATCTCCTATCTTCCGAAAGGCAGAGAGAGATATATGCAGTCTATGCTGGAATCGGTGGTCTAGAAGCTCAAGCGGGGAATATCAGGAATGGGACACCTAAACGATATATTTCGATCGAGGGCCAGATTCATATAACTGTACATCTACCCGGGCAATTCCCTTGCGAGCAATCATGGAAGACAGTTTGGGCACCTGCAGCCAAATTGATAAACTTGGTGCCTGACATATTAGGTGTCTTCAACCACCTGGTCACCTCGCCTGTATTCACTTCGCTCTACCTTTTTCTTCTCTTTCCCATCAACACCAGACTAGAAAACACTTTCTTTCCACCTACTCCTCAGAGCGCTCCAGCGTCCTGGTGATTGAAACTGACATGGTTTTTCGCATAGCTATCTAGGACTACTCAAGACCCCGACCTTCCTGCGTTCTACATCCCCGTCTATGACGAAGCGAAGATTAGATAAAATCCAAGGTCTACCTCAATACAACTCATCTCTGAGTCTGACAGGCAGATTTCATAACAAGATTTACCATGTCCCATCCTTTCTTGACTCATCGGTGCTGGAGTTGAAAAGTTTTGCCTGGCTCGCGGACCGCGACATTCGATTCAAATCGTTCAGAAACGATAAGAGACGCGATTTTTGTGCCCAAAATCTGCATATTAAATTGGCTGGAATAGCGTTCAGGTTTTATACTCTCTTCGAGTACGACTACGCCCAGTCCGACCGTACCAAATGAAGCGACGATAGCTCCCTCTGGGTAGACACCTCTTCCATCATCGATCGGAACACATTTCCTTGTTCTTCTGACTGGGCTAGGTAACCGTGGGTTTTAGAAATAGTTTCGGCCATTCGTCCACGAGCTGGAGTAGAATCACAGCATGATTTACAAATGGGACAAGACCATCCACTGGAGAACCCCATGTCGGCGCGACAATACAGAGATGGCAGAGACTTCACTTCGAGTAGATAGTATCTCTCTTTCTAGACTTGAAACCTGGGAATGCATCCTTCTACGTCTACGTCATGCCCACAATAATGGCTAACATTGTTTTCTGTGATGCATCCATGTCGATCGCAGGATTTCCATTGGAGATTATGGGCCAAACTTGAGTTTTCCAAGAGAGTGAATTCCTTTAGGTTGTGTGTGGCATGTGGCATATGTTAGAAATGACTCCCGACTTAGATCTCCGAATCAACTCCTTAGTTTGTAAAAGATTCTTTGAAATAGATTCTCCTGCAGGTCCAGTGGGGGCTATCGTAAACACATTAAGCCTTGGCCGAGAATCTCTTCCGAATTAGTTAATTGGTCTTTTCGTCTATATATGTAGAGGAACGAAAACAATACAGGATTTTCTTTAAAAAACTAACTGGTTCCAGGCCTTTTTCAAAATTCCCTCGGTTACAAAATTGAAATATTCCAGGTTTTTGTTGCTCTGCATAATCTACCCCAGAATTTACAAGAATCTAAAACAGCTTGGCGCCTAGTGAGCTCATGCTCTCTCTTTTCGCCAATGATTTCAAATATTCAAGACAATTCCCCTCGGAGTACTCCGCACAATATAGATGCTTGGACCCAATTGGTCATTGCATGGCCAGATTGTGGCCTCTCATTAGGCTTTGAAAGGATTTTAAATGGATGCCAGTAGGATAATAATAAACACCATGGCGATGTATCCCGTTTTGGATATTGCCCTCTAACCAATATTCGCTTTAGGATGTTCCGAAACACATCATTTTGCCCAAGCGGATCACTCGTCCCATTTACCCCTGCATATAATGTTCACATCTGGTATATATTCCACCACCTCCTTGGCCTTTCTTATGTTGTAGTCATTTCAAATCAAGGCATCAATTCAGTCGGTCTTTTTCTTCCCAAAATGCATCTGCTCAGTACTTTGATTCTGTCCTCCGTCGGCCTTACTTTGGCATATGAAGTGCCCGACAATTTGAAAAAGCTGTACGACGAGCACAAGGTAATCCTTCCATGTCCGTCAACTATAGCCAACGGTCTAACATATATAGGGTGTTGAATGCAAAAACATACTTAAGAAAGGGTTGGACGATGGAGGTGGCACAGACGACGAGATGGGTTATTGCGGCGACATAGATGGGGCTATCTACCTATACAGCACCGCCAATGGGGGATCGTACGGCGATATGGACATCGATTGTGATGGCGCTAATGAAACTGCGGGGCTCTGCTCCAATGATCAGAGTGGTCAAGGTCAGACGGCTTTCAAGTCTGAACTGCAGAAGAATTATGGCATCGAGGACCTGGATGCCGGCATTCACCCCTATGTGGTCTTCGGAACTAAGGACTATTTTCCCCAAGGCAATGAAGACGATGTAGACCCCAAAGAGATGCAGCCTCTGAGTGTGATGGCAGTTGTGTGCGGTGGAAACCTGGTATTGCACCCCCTGTTCCGAATCAATATTTCCCTACTAACATGTTATTCTAGCACTATGCTATCTGGGGTGATACCAACGGCCACTATGCTACCGGAGAGGCTTCCCTCTCTCTGGGTCAACTCTGCTTCCCTGACGAGGATATTACCGGTGACAGCGGACATACCGAGAAGGATGTCTTGTACATTGGCTTCAAGGGAAAGAGCGCACTCCCGGGAGACGAGACAAATTGGAAAGCAAAGGACGCCAAAACATTTGAAGAGAGCATCAAGTCGGTTGGTGATAAATTAGTCCAGGGTCTTGGTTCGGCCGGATCCAAAGGCTCGTCCCAAGGCAGGGTCGACGACTCTTCATCTTCATTCACTACGTCCGCGCGGACTACCACCAAGTCCACAACCAAGTCGAGGACCCGCGTGCTAAGTTCCACCGCTCCTCCTATGAGTACCACCGCGAAAGCGAAATCGTGTCGTCAGCACTAAACTTGACATGCACAGCCCTTGGTTTGGCTCTGTGTACCTCGTGGAGAACGACAGCTCCGCTTTTGGCCATACATTGTAGTTAGTGTCTTTTTTGGTTGTGAATTGTGAATTTATCTTGCGTTACTTTGATTTGCAAAAGTCACATAGGAAGATATAGGCCATCTCTCGTAGACGCCTTTACCCCCTCGCATCTACTCTTTCCACTTATAAAAAGAGTTCGTATCTTAGACTACATTCATCCGTAGAACATGAAACAATCATAGTATATTGTATATAGCACATAGCTCCTCGCTACTTGAATCATCGTACAAATGCAACTCTAGTTTTTGAATTGCTACTCGGTAGTTTGGGTGGAATTCCGTTTATAAAGGTGAACAAGATGTATGTCTTGGATTCGATAAATGCAATAGGTATATGATCGATCTTCTATATATACAAAGAAAATAATTGTGCACAATGATGTCACTCAGTACTCCAGGTCCAAGATGATATCGTGCAAGTTGATGCAATATGACAAATGCAAAATGCAAAATGCAACACCAGCTGTTGAAGGAATAATAGAAGGAACTGTTCTTTTTCTTTTTCTTTTTCTTTTCTTTTTTTCGAAAGAGGTCTTTATACTCACGCGTTCTCCGTGTGGAGGGTTCCCTGTGACTTGCGACCGTACGGGTTCTCATCCGCGATCCAGTCCTGGTGGCGTTCGGGAATCTCGTAGCTGCTGCTCTTCCAGGGGACGACCTTGTTGACATACATCCAGTCAAGCTCCTCGAGTGTGCGACCCTTTCCTTCAATAACGAAGAAGTAGACAACGCCGATAGCCACGAAAAGGCAGCCAGCGAAAACGTATCCGTAGGCAAAGTCGATCTCCTTGGTGATGAAAGTTGTGAAGAAACTGATGAGGAAGTTCCATAGCCAGTTGGTTGCGGTCGCCAGGGCCATTCCCTTGGCACGGTACTTTGAGGGGAAGAGCTCTGCGACAATAGCCCACACCATGGGACCCCAGGTCATAGCATATGCTGCAATAAACAGGCAGGCGACGACAATCATACCCTTGCCGGCGTTGGGGGTGTTGGTAGGTGTTTCAACGTCCAACACGAAATGACCGAGCGATGAGAAGATCATGAACATGACAAACATCCAGATCGCTCCGAAGATCAAGGACTTGCGACGACCAAAGTTTTCCACGACATACAAGCCGCCAAATGTAGTGCCGAAGTTCACAGCGCCGAGGATGCACTGGGTCACGAAGCTGTCCGAGAGACCGGCGCCTTCGAAGATAGTGGTACCCTATGAAAGATATTTTGGTTAGCGATCATTGTTTCCCAAAAATCAAAGAATGTCTGTAGAAGACTTACATAGTAGAAGAAGTAGTTAGCACCGCTGAGCTGCTGCAGTGACTGCAAGACCATGCCGAGGGCAATACGATAGAACATGCAGGGGGCGGTGAGGAATTCATGCCACTTCTGCTCATCAGACTCGGCTTCAAACTGCTCACGAATCTCGTTCATTTCCTCCAAGATGCGAACATGGTTTTCTGGGATACCGTAGAGCTTAGCCAGGGTGCTTTGGGCACTTTCGACCTTTCCATGGCGGAACTCATAACGTGGGCTTTCGGGGAAGAAAACCATACCACCGCCGAGGACCAGAGCGAAGACAAAGGTGATGCCGAGAGTGATGCGCCATTGAGCAGTGCCATCCATGGTGTGAGTACCTAGGTTGATACAGTAGGCCAAAAAGATACCGAGGGTGACGAACAGCTGATAGCAACTGATCATGGCACCACGAATATGACGGGGGGCACTTTCACTTTGGTACATGGGGACAAGCAGTGAGCAGCCACCAACCCCGAGACCGGTGACCCAACGGCCAACGACCATCTGGTACCAGTGACCATCGGGAGCGGCAATTTGAACAATCAACCCGACATTGAGGATCAGACACCAGAGAGTGATGGACCACTTCCGGCCCAACTTATCAGCGACGGGAGCTCCAGCCAAGGCACCGATCATGGTACCGATAGACAGCAAGCCGACAATGAGACCGGAGCGCACGGTGCTGAATTCATAGGAACCATCTGCCTTGAGCTCACCGTACCGCTCCAAGTAGTTGCTCATTTCTTGGAAGCCGGAAATCTGACCCGTGTCATATCCGAACAGCAGACCACCCATCGAGACAAAGAGGGCCATCACCAAGGACCGAATGGTTATCCGAGGGATTGGGGTGTCGACACCTGCGGGTCGCATAGGCTTCTCAATCGGGCTATTTTGGAAGGACGACTGGACGCTCGGCTGTTGAGCTGGGGTGATGGACTCCCCATGGTGGGAAGACGATTCAGCACCCATGGCGTAGGTTTGGATAGGAAATAGGTTTCTGCCTTGTCCGGTGTTTGATATTTCAAGTTGGATTTAAAAGAGATATAGATTGACTAGAGGACCAGCTCAAGTAGAAAGATGAGAATGAAAGAATAGAAACAATCCTATGGGGGAATAAGGAAATCTCGGGGAACATGGGGGAATCAGGGGCTTTTTGTAATCCAGCAATCAGAGAATAGAAAATAAAATTGTGGAGAGGCGAATTGCGCAAGATGATGCTCATGCACAAAAAAAAGTAGGCAGTCAACAACCCGGCTTCCACCGGTTGATACAGGGACCCCACCAGGGGAAAAGGCCACACATGGCAAGTTCCAAATGATGGGCTCTGGTTCGCCCTTTTTTTTCAAGTGGATATCAACCCGTAGCCGATTACCTAGGGGTCGGGAGGCGAATTCAAGCTTATAGGCCAAGGCCGTGCCGAACTGATTCGGGATCACATATTTCAGGGCCGAGTAAGAGATTTATAATGTACGTTTTCCTTTTTTTTTTACTATACATCGATATACGTTGTAAAGTATCAGTGGGATTGAATCAATCTTGAGTCTGGATAAACCGCAGTGGGCCATATACCAATAGTACTCCCCAGGCTCTCCGGATTCTCTCCGGTTTCTCTCCGGTTTCTCTGTCTCTCCGGATCCCAATAAATTGATTTCCCGATCGGTATCCCGGTGAAAACATCCCCGAGAATTACCGCTCCATGAAAAGAGGGTTGAGGGGAAATGCGGAGTCTGGGGGTAAATATGCTATGTACATACAAAGTACTCTGTACTAACTTGCGACATTAATATGTTAATTATATACGTAATACTAGAAGGGCATTACTTTGCATCTACCTGCCTTTTACAGCTCATATCCTAAGCCTAACATCCGGCAAAACATCGGCTTGATATCAACCGATGCCGAGTCGTGCCGAGTCGTCAGTGGCGATCCGCCACACCCGTTACCCTACGTCATTGAAGAATTTTGCAAAGAACCTTTGAATTTTCACTTCTACGTACCGTATTTTCAAAAGGCAAGATGGAATGAATCTATTTCATTTCCTTATTTCCTACGCCACATAATCCAAACATTTGACCCAGGACATGGATATTCAACATCACTTAGGTAATACTAGATCAAATTTGTTATTTTTGTTTCCGTGAATTATCGGATAACTGGACCACCGATGGATCCGCCCCCGGCATCCTAAGATATTCCCCGTGCCAAGTCGGGCTGATTCTCGGAAAGTCCCTTTATATCGCAACAGTACGAAATCTCACTTCATTATGGGGCTGTGCAAAAGGACTTATTCTTCATTCCGCGCAGTGAACTCACAAAAACTTGTGGAGAAACTATAAGGCACACTATAGTCTAGTGTATAACGTTGTCATAATCTAGGTCAATGGTAACTGGGGTAACTCGTGAGATTAGTTGAGAAATGAATTCTTTAGGTCGTTAGGACACCATGATATAGAAAGGGTACGAAATATAGGTTGCTGCATTGTACTCCGAAGCAATTACAATTCTCGGTCTAGCTAGCCGTTTTTGCATAGTACTAATTACTAAGTGTGAATGGCTTTTCCTCATCCCCCAAGCACGGCGGCTGAAACGCCTTGACAAATGGAGACAAGGGTGGCAATTGCTCCGCGTTTCAGTTTCTCCAGGAATCCCCCTCCCCCCGCCCCCGGGCAATTGCAGTTGATTCATACAGTCCTAGATTCCTTAGATACCATGCATGCTAATGGAAGTGGTCTGGCTGATGGAGTTGGGTCAAAGACCGAACGAACCATTGGTGCATCGCAGGCGGACTACCGCTTCGATTATTCCGCAAACAACACGGGTGGCTTACAGGATAAGCTCCTCAGGAAAAGTCTATGGCCTGATATATCCTTCAGTCGATGGAATAATTTCGATTTCCTAATTCATGGCGGAAGTTGTTCCCCGTCTTTACACATTCCCCGCGATCCAATATATATATATATGTATTTACATGCATGCAAAGCCAAACAACAGGCACACTGCGAAGTCTAGGATCACTATGAAAACGCTGGCAATCTTATCCCTGACCGGGCTGGTCTCTGCCCAAGCTGCCCCGTATGCTCAATGCGGCGGAGGCAGTTATTCCGGCCCTACAACATGTGTCTCTGGCTGGACTTGCCAATATCAGAGTGACTGGTATAGCCAATGTCTCGCATGTAAGTGTGCTTAGATGTGTTGTAATGCTGTTTTCTCAATTAACACGGAACGCTCCAGCTTCTGGTGGTAGTACGACTACTTTAACGACAAAAGTCTCGTCAGAAATTGCAACTAAAACGACAACGACCACCAAGGCAACCACCACCAGTGCCAGTGCGACTGGATTCCCCACTACAAATGGACTAGAATTTGAAATTGATGGAAAGACAAGCTACTTTGCCGGCTCTAATTCCTACTGGATCGGCTTCCTCACCAATAATGACGATGTAGACCTTGTGTTCGACCACATGGATGAATCCGGGCTCCGAATCCTCCGAGTTTGGGGATTCAACGATGTCAACACTGTTCCCTCTGCGGGAACTGTCTATTACCAACTACTCAAGGATGGAACTGCTACCATTAACACCGGCGCAGATGGCCTACAACGCCTGGACTATGTGGTTGCCTCCGCCG